CATTTTCTCTTTCAAATCAGCATTCTCATCAGTTTGAATAGTCTCTCTTCTCTATCATTTGATGAATTCTCCCCTCCCCTTTCCACTATAAAGTAGTACCTTTTTTTTGTCAAATGTGGACACGATTCCACTTGCATTGCAATAAAGAACTCCGATGTATTCCCCCTTCAGCACATATCGATTCTTCTTGGCATTCTACCAGACACAGATCCCATGTTTTGATACAAATAATTAGACAAATTTTAAATAAGAAGGAAGTGGGAATTTTTTTAAATGGCACTGAACCTATACTGCTGGTATTAAGCTTAATGTAATTTCCCGTGCTGAACAAATTGGAAATAAAGCAGCAGCTCAAGAGTTTGAAAAAAACAAGAGATGCATTCGATGCTCGAGAACTGAAAAAAAAACTTACAAATGTGCTACAACAGAAACAAGACAAAAGAAGTGGTACTGTAAGTTGGCTAAAGACAACCTTGCAAACTGGATAAAGGAGCAATAAGGAAAAAGAATGGCAATTTTAACAGTAAAAATTTGTTTACAAGCAAAATTTATGATGAAACAAATGAACATAAAAAAGACTTCAAAGGAGGGCCTTGCTGTGGTGTAGCAGATTTATGAACAGAAAAAAATTTCTGTGCATATTAGAACAAGTCGGGTAACAATTACCAATGGACTGGCAGGATAAAAAAAGCATCTTTTCTAAAATGTGTGACATATTACCGACAAACTTCCATCACAGATAATAAATATGGATGGAACGCCATTAGCTTCTAAAGCTGATGATCATTTTTAAAAGAAAAACTATTCTGAACAGAGATTTTCCTAATGACATAATTATTTATGCAAATGAGGATGGTGCAAAACAATCATGTATGAGTGGCTACAAAAAGTTTGGCACTGTCATAAGGGATCTTTTTTTTAACCAAAAGGATTGTTGATAACGAATTCCATGCATTCTCATTTATTTGAGTCAGTGAAAAACCAGATGTCAAAAACTGTCTACGACCTTAGCAATAACTCCTGGTGGCTTGACAAAAATCTTCCAACCATTAGATTTGTCAGGCAGTAAATCCTTTAAAGCTGAAGTCCAAAAGCAGTGGAATTGTTGCATGAGTGAAGGATTACACAGTTATACCAAAAGTGGTGAAATGCATAAAGCATCTTATGAAGAAGTTGCAAAGTGGGTAGGTAGTTCATGGAAATCAGAGAAATAGAGACTGTAAAGCAAGAGGATGAATGTGACAATCTGGAAGACTTGGACTATCAGAATTAGCTTAATCTTTTTAATTCAGATGGCTTCATATGATGTTCAGTTTGTTGTAATTCTTTTTGTAAGCAAAAGTAAAATTTTCTTCCATCAATCAAATTTAATATCTCGGCGTGATATTCTTATAATATACAGTCAAAAGTTGTTAATCCGGACTTCTGTGATTTCGAATTATAGATCATCAGTTTAAATCAGGTAAGATGGCATGCAGAAATTATAAAATTAAAAATATGTAAACCGTAATTTATGAAATAAAGAACAATTATGATCTAAAGGGTATCAAATTTACAAAAAAAAAGTTTATATTTATTGTTACTTTATTAAACATTTCTTTCAATGTAAGTTGTTTAAGTTGCTTCGTTTTTTATGTGATAATACTTTCTCTTTAATTCTATAAACAGACATAATTTCTTGTTCAGTTACAAAGTTCCGCTGTTCAAGTCAATAATTTTGTGTCAAGAATCCGACTAATTTATCAATCAAAATCCTTCGTTTTCGAAAAAAGTGACCGCTATCGGAAGCGAATTATAATGACGAGGAATTTGATTTTAAATCATATCAAGACGGAGTAATCAGATGAAATACTACATTTAGTAAGGAATTATAAGCCAAATAAAATAAAAACATATGCCCTGAAGATAAGGATAGTGCTGACAGATCAACTTCCAGCTCATTGCGTGCCACAACGTCCCCCCCCCCACACACGCGCAGAGCAGCATGAAATTGATAAATAGATTTCGGAACGGTTAGATAAACAAATCCATTTTTTGCAGAAATTCCACTTTTTGTTTAATGGACTTCGAAACATACTTTCGCTTTGTAGATCCTTTACATATTAGTAAATACATATCAGTCTGCAAAAAATAATAAGCCGGATCCAATTCGAAGATTAAGGAACAACGCAATCTGCAACATTAACTGAATTAGATAATTTTAGCTTAGCTTATACCGTCCGTTATACATTAAACGCGCATTCGTAAGCATATTTTGCGCATGCGCACACACATATTTGCAGCTAACGGTCTTAGTGCATGCGCAGAAAGTTTGTAGCTTTTGAGGTCCGGATTATAGATCATTCCGGATTATGGGTGTCCGAATTAACGACTTTTGACTGTAGTAGGAGTATTATTATTGAATATGGACTTTAGTGGGTAAATATAAGTATGTTCGTTAACATAAGTATATTTTCAAAATTTCTCACCTATACTTTATTTTTGAGTTATGGTTTCATTTCATGCATTTTTTTAACTGATATGCCATATATCAGTACATAAGTCAAAATTTTGTGTTAATAACATTCAGAACGTCATGCACAATTTGACTACTGTGGCATTTACGTTGATGCAGAGTTTCTTCCGGAGAGCCTTTGAATGAATCATGTAAGACTGCATTATTTTTTAGAGTAAAATTAGGTTTGGCATGTGAATGTTCTGGATAACAACCATGTTTCTGAAATAAATTTTGCTTGGAAACTAAGTCACAACTGTAATAAAACATAATCCAATATAATAAGTTTGTCTTAGTTATTTATAAACAAAAACTGTGCCTTTTTTACATGCACAGTGCAGTTTATAGCCCTTTGCTGATAAAACAAGTCCACCCACAATATTTGATTTAATGACATATTTAAACATAAACATGTTTAAATGAATTCAATAGTAAATCTGTATAAAAAGAGTAATATAGTTTAATACAGTATTATGGAATGTGGGTCACAAAAATGAAAAAATATATTTTGAGAGCTGCAGTAACTGAAAATTTCCGACCATTCCAGGATTCAAGTTACCTAAATGTTCAAGCCATATTTTTAAATTTACAAAAAAACAAAAAATATGCGGCCAAAATTATGTATCATCAAACTATTTCAATAATAATTAACCTTCCAGCATGCACGCATCATATTTTTTTATTACATCTGTTATTTTACCGTTTTTGGCACAAAAAATGAGAGAAACGAGTGAATATTGATAAATTTATTAAGAAATAAAATATTAAGCTTATTATTGTAAAATACATATGTACCTTTGAAATGAAAGTAAATTATTTTAAAATGATTATATCAGTCAGGTGGAAAGGCAGTGATGCGTTTCATTATAGAATTTTTTTTTTAAATTTAATAACTATATTTTAAGATCCAAGCTAGTTTTAATACTCATCAAAGGCAAGTATAGACAAATAAAAAAGGAAACTACACTTACCTTGGTGGAGAAAAAATGTAAAATTAGCATTACTTACTTCTGCAAGGAAATTTACTTCTAGTTACTAGTTACAAAAACTAATTTTTCATATTTTTATTTATTTCTAAAAAATAAAAATAAAAGAAAATAAAGAATAGTAATAATAGAAATAGAATACAGTACAGTAAAAATAGAATTCTAAAGATTCTTCAATGTTCAAAGTGCATTCCATGCAAGTAATTTTGGTAATAGAATGACATTTGCACTTGTATCTAAGGTATGACTTGCATTTCATAGACGCTGACGATCTCTTTTTTTCTCTGACAATGCAGACCACATGTTCCTCGTTTCAATGAGTATTGCTCTGGCACTTCATCATTAGAAGTAGCATAATTACAACTTATAAATGTTGAAATGGAAGATAGTGTTTGGATTTTGGTGTGCCAATGAAGATGGTCTTTCATAAGACTAATAGTAGTTAAATTCTTCAGGAAGATCCTTCGGCATGATGCTGTGTTAGCTGGCTTGAGGTAACAATGCAGTGCCTGTCTCTTGAGTATTTGCCTTTTAGCAAACTTATGCATTTATTTGAACATTCCACACTTTCACCAAGCACATTTATACCATTTATTTTAAAAAATGATCCTATTTCCTCCTCTATATGCTTGACATGGTGTTTTAGGGCAGGTAACACTTTCACAATATTCATCTTTTTTTGTCTTTGAGCAATTTGCATACTTCTCTTTTCGCCACTTAGAATATTTATTCTTACCAACAATGAACATATCATCAACATTTCTCTTTTTTTTTCTATATCATTATTATCATGATCATCCGAAATATTTTTAAGATTTACTGCTGATATTATGTATCTCGATATTTTCCTCGTTCAAATCGTTATTTTCTCACAAAGGTTTTCTTATCTTCTTTTTCTTCATCGGATAATTCTGCAAGAATGCGAGAAAATCAGCTGGTTGCACAAATTGTTTTTGTCATGGAAGCCGATATAAAAAAATTATCAGGGTAGAATTTACACAAATTAAAATAATACATGTCAATTAATAACAAAAAATTACAATACATTTGAGAAAAATATCATTTTTGAATTTTCACCCAGGACCACACGCATTTTAACTTTTAACAAAGAAGCTGCCACGTAGCACAAAACACCAGTTTAAAAAAAATCATATGACTTGCTATTGGCACACCCCATGATGTGGGGAAGGGTTGAAAGGTGGAACAGAAATCACCTTTAGATGTCTAAGCTGTGATATGCAAAAAAATCTGCATTGAAAACAGAATTTGTCGTAAACTTTGAGCATAGTACACATGCTGGAAGGTTAGGAAATACTAAGAAATCTCTCTCTCAACAGCAAAAATGTAATTATGTGCATAATTTAACAATCTGCAGCTTTGCTAATTTATTCACATATGATTGCAATATATTTGTTTATGATTTCAATTCTAAAAAAATCCAGGTTTCACAAATTATTTAAATATATATTTTTACAATTTTCTAAAGTTACATGTGTACCACAAAATGACACAAAAATGGAGACCTTTTGCAATTTAATATACATCACAAAATAATTTACAAAATTAAACAAGAAGCTCAAGTTTATTGAAAAATTAAAAGAAAATATAAATCTAATCAACAAAATAAATGTTATTAAATGATGAGTACAAAAGCATAAAATATCCATACAAAAATCTTTGATTTCCCTATATAATTTAATAAGCAATTCTAGGCACAATGATTAAATAAAATGATTATACAATTGATTTTGTAACATATAGAATTGATTTTATATAACACATTACAAAACATGATTTTAACTTGTTTAAACTATTTAAAAGGAACATTTTCCAACTGTACAAATTCTATTATATAATTTTTCAACAGTGGACTTCCAAGAAGTTGAATACTAATGTCAATGATGCTTAAGTTCTGTACCAATTTTATAGCTAAGAATTTTCGCCCAATCAATCTTGGTCCGAGTGACAGGCAATAAACGTCGTAAAGCTTTAAAGGTTGTGTCAGACATAGTTTGATAATTTTCAGATATTGCCATCTAGAAAAGGAAAGAAAAAGGCCACACAATTTTAACAGAAAATATAAAAACTTTGGATTACACAAAGCAAACAAATGATTCAGTAATATGCTTCAATTTATCACAATATGAACAAATGTTCCCATTCATGCATTACGTTTTGGTAAATTTCAATTAGATTAACCTCAAACATTTAAGATGGTACTTGCATATTATCCCACTGACTGAGAAACTCTTGACAAGCAATGTGATTTAGCACCAATTATGGATAGGCGAGACATAACAACACACTCATAAGATCTTTGTGACTGGTTTTTGATGAGCCACATTTTGTTTTTATGAACAAGGGTACAAATGAACTTTTATTGCTATATTTTGTCCTTGGATTTAAAGAAGATTAAAATCTGAAACCATCTTCTACAGAACACCAAGCTGTGAATTATTTTCAAAGCTATGATAGTGTCTCATTGAAAATGTACGAATTAATGGACATCATATGGTCAGCTGAACACGGCCAACAAAACAGTAAACAGACTGGAACTGTTACCTATGGGAAGTTTGTACTCGCAGCATTCAAAACAGAGCTTCTGGTAAAACTGGAGCACCTAACAGATTAGTTGAACGTTTAATAAGTCGTTGAAAGCCTTTCTTACGAAGCACAAAAACAAAGTGGATTGAATAATGACTGTTTATCAAATAAATATGCATAAGTTCCTTTAAAATTCTGCAAGAATAACTGCCGCAATTTTGGCACCACTAACTTTCAAGGTCTGCTTTTTCGGCTTATGAGATAATATGCAAGTACCCATTATACCATTAATGCCCGTCTTCAAGATTTAAAAAATATTTATATATTAGTCAGAATAGTAATAAATTACCTATTCACATGTAGCATTCCAAATTTAACCTTTTACACTATCAGAAAATATAAAAACTTTGCACAACACAAATCAAACGTGCTATTCAAACAAATGGTTGAGAAGCCTTATTTCCTTGGCAGAATATGAATAAATGCTCACATTCATGTATTACTTATTGGTAACTTTTAATCTGATTAACCTTAAACATTAGACCATTTATATCAGTTTTTAGATAAAAAATATTTTTATGATATTAGTCAATAATAATTTATCTATTTACACACAACATTTCAAATTTAAACTTTTATACAGTAGCCAGACAGCTAACATGTTTGATAACATCAGTACCTGGGGAAGGGGAGAACAAATTAAATAGTAAAAATTTTCTAAATTTCTGAATTTCTTAAATTTTCTAAAAAAGATCAAGACACATTAATGTCAATATTAATACAATAAAATCATATAATGGTACACACAGAATACCAGTGCAACATAATGAAAACAATGGAATAAATCACATTTAACACAAACCTGCCAGGCATTTTCAGATATTTGCAAAATTCTTCAGCTTCCTTTCTTTGTCTGGCATTTTCATATGCTTTCGAAATTCTTTACACAGAAATACTTAGAAGAAATTGAAGACCTACTGTCTAATCTACTATATTTATTTTACTAACTACGTAAATTTCTACTTAAATAAAACTTACTATATTTATTTTACTAACTACGTAAATTTCTACTTAAATAAAACTTTTATGTTTACATTTAATATATCTTTTTTAGATTGTACCAAACATTTTAGAAATTTTATTAGAGTTATACATACCTGATACTCTGTTTCAGCTTCTTCTACTATCTGCATGAATTCAATAGCAGTCTGTTGTTCAGTCTACAAAGGAAGAGACAGACAGAAACATAGAGTAAGCTACAAAAATGAGCAAAGAAGTAAAAATCAATTCATGTATACTAAAGGATATTTCAATTATATGCTTCAAAGATTTAGCTATACATTATAACTTTTTTTTATATAAGAATAGCAATCAAATACTGAATTAATGCACATTTCAACTTTCTCAATGATGTTTCTTACTGATACCAATTAAAAGAGAAGCCTTCACTGTACACAAAAGTATAGCAGCCTAATTCATTTTGATACTTTTATCTTTATAGGACTACTGAACAAAGATACCTTTCTATTTAAAGCAGTTTAATTCATTCTTTTGGTACCTGTCAAATAACTTAACCTCTTAAAAGTTTTTTAGATATGAATTTGATCAATAAATAAGACAATAAAAATGTTACTGAGGTGATAATAGATTTAACTGCCACAGGCAATATTTTACATGAATATTACATTTTGCTACAATTTAATTCTGAAAAAATAATTTATTTCAAGACATATAGTGTATTTTCATTTATTTTTCAGTTTCCAAATAGCTAAAAATGAGTGCATTTTAAGACTTACTGTAATTGAAAGAGTTTCCTTCACTTCTTTTGAACTCACCAGCTGCACATTCCCATCTTCATAATAATGAACCTATAATAATAAATTATATACACTAATAACAGTAAGTGTCTGCAGAGTTTTATCAGAGTATTTTTTGTAACCATTTCTAATGAATTTGGGGAAATATAATTACAGTTGAGGTGACTCTAATCTGACAACATTTATGAGGCTAGAATGACACAATTCAAGCTTTTGCCCTGTTTGTTGTATGCCATAAACAATTGCCTGCGAGAGTTTAGTTTCTTCAGTCTGCTAGCGTATTTGATAACTTTGCATCAGATCTGCTAAAACTGAAAGGGTACACATAGAAAAAAATAACCCTAGAAAGGATAATAAATATCACATTAACTGTTGCATGATGCATCGGTGGATCATGATAGGTTTGTTTTAGAGGCCTTATGATCCAAACAGCAATTATTCGTTCACATATACCACCGGTGGGTCACCTTTTCTGAAGCTTTATATGAGAATGTAAATTTCTTTGGCCTCCAAATCACTCTACTCAAACTGGTCGCAAACTACTAATGTCTATAATTCTGTAAACATATTTCTTTATTATTCATAGACATGTACTAAAATTTTAGATATATTAATTTCTAAAATTTTAGTTTAAAATTTTTAAGTTATATATAGCATTGTTCGGCACTTTTCCGTTTCGCTGCCGCAAATCTCGCCAAGCAGACTTTATTGGCATACAATATACACATAAAAAATGTTAAGAAATGTTAGTTCTAAGAATTGTTTATTTGGAAGGCATAAACATTTTAATATCATTTAAAGTTTTGTATAAAGACAATAAATTTGTAAAGAGGCACTATTTTAAGAATTTACTATGCTTTCATGGTTCAACATCCTGATTTGCTGGTTCATATCACGTGATCCCAAGTGATCTCATCTCACGTAAACTATGCTACAGAAATCTAATTCTCTCATTAATTATCAACATTAATTTTAAGTTAAATCTTAATTCGGAATACAAGTTTAAATGCAAGAATTATTTCAATTCGTATGAATAGCTTACCCAGAAATTATGTAAAACCGCAGTGCTTTACTTCGCTAGTGCATTCTCATTAGAATTGATGAATTAACCCCCTTAACTTACTTTTCTATATTTTCGCCTTCGAGTGAGTGGTGTAATTGCATCCTAATTGATTTAATTACCGTGAATGTCCTTAGGGCATAAAATTGAACTATCTGGTAAAAATTCTATGTGTATGCCAGTAATGAAGGAAATAATCAATATGATAAGAAATGGCTGCGAATTGTTTTAAAAATGAGGTGTAAAAGGTTACCAGCAAGGATATTCAGTTTGGCATCAGTTGTACCATTACTGGCGATTTTATAGCCTGCGCCGGCAAAAAAGAAAAGTACCCACTGTTCGAATATAAGTATTTTGACACAAAATCAGACTTTTTCTGAAATGACATAGCAATTTTTTTCCGTACTTCAATTCTACGACTCATATTATGCCAAACTGCCAAGTTTCGTAAAAAATTGCAGTAGTTTTTAAAAAAATAGCTCTCAAAATTTTGGCTCCTCAATGTTAATTGAGTTTGGTTATGTATTTGTTAATACCTCTTTTTTTATTAAACTTATTTTATTCTTCCTTTCACATTTTGAAATTTAGGTTCATTCCAAATAACATTGGCTCATATTTTAATGATTTATTTTAAAATAATTTTTAAAAATTTTTCAAAAAACATTTTGAATTATAACCTATAAAATATTTAACTTCATCTTAAAAAGTAGATGAATTTCTAGGCACACCTGCAAAAAAATTTTGATTCAAAATTTTCTAAAATATACATGAATTTACATACTGACGTGCTTTGAAATTTGGCATATTTGTTATAAGCGATAATAACAACAAATGCGGTTTATACACTTTGTTAAAATTATGATTTTGTGTCAAAACACCTATATTAGAACTATGCTATATAGAAATCTAATATATATCCTAAATCGCACTTTCGACACAAAAAAAAAAAAAAAAAAAAAAAAAAAAAAAAACTCAATTTGAATTTTGCCAATCAGCACAGTAGAATGGGAGATATAGAACTGTCCCCCCTTTCTTTGCACAGTGTACATCCTCTTTGGATGCAGAAATTTTTTTTTTTGCTATACAATATTTGTTTGAAATACAACCCTAGTAAATAAGTCACAACTGCAATGCTTTACCCTTGTTTACCTCTTTAGAGGCAATGTTGTAACTGCCTATGAGAGTCAATGCATTTTAAGAAAGTTAATGAGAAGCATCAAGCAATGAAAAAAATGGCTATGATTACCACAAAGGTGAAAAAGACACTGTTGAAAAATATGAAGATAATATGCATATCCATGACTTGGCACTACTGTCATACCGTATGTCAAGAATAATGTTTATGAAATGGAAAAATAAAGATGCTATTAAACTGACTGATGTAAGACCTGGTGGTCATCAATGAGATCCAAGCAGATACCTGACAAAAGACAAAGAAATTTGGTAAATTTTCATTTATGTACAATATGTATTTCACGTATTGTATTTGTATTTTAGTACAGTGCTATAATAAAACTATAATTTTTTTAATAAGAATGAATTAGTTGTTTTCTCTCCATTTCTTATCCTTTGATTTGCACTCAGAAAAAAGATTCAAGAACTCGAATCTTCATGTTTCTGCTCATTTAGGTCTTTCACACTAATACCTAGGAAACTGTTAAACATTTAACTCAAAACTTTTGAAAGATTCTTTATACTGACATCCAACATTAATTTAGAATGAGTGCCATGGCTGCAATTTCAGTGGTTCTGGATCACATTTATCATTTCCGGCAGTCTTGAGTGTCATATTCTTAAATTTAATACACATTCCAAGTTTGGTATTTATCTTAGTTACCTCTTGAAATAATCTTATGTCCTCTATACTTTTTTTATTTATAAATATTCTCAAAAAATGTACAAAACTTGACTTTTAACTCAAATGTTTTGTCAAATTACTGAAATAACCTCAAAAATTTTTTAATTTAAGTTTATCTTTTTAATACAGGTGCACTTTTAAGAACTCTATTCTGAACTTTGCTTTACTTAATACCTTTTTAAGAAAATACTTTTTTCTCCTTCATAATCGATTTCAAAAGGCTTTCCGACTTTAGATCTTAGAAAAAATAGGATTTATCATACCTCTACATAAATCAATCTTTCACAGAAAAAATGGGAGAATGTAAGAATCAAAATTCCTATTTCAGACCTGTTTTGCAATAACTATTTAACACAGCCATGCATGTTGCCCATTCAATCAATCAGAAATCTTGAAATGTACATGACAAGCTGGCTGTGAGAAAAGTACACAGTCTTTTCAAACATCTTGGAAATCAGGTAGGTAACTAACCTTAGTGTAATTTGGCAACAGAATGGATTTTATTGCACAAATATGAACAGACACTCTGCACTATAGTCAGTCAGACATTGCCAAACAATCATCTATATTGTATTACCCTCATATTCAGTGATAGCTAACGTGGATAAATTTTGTTTTCAACTTAAAACATTTTCCTGTTAAGCCATTAAAACAATTCAAGTCTTTCAAGGCTTACACAGGCCTGATAAAAATTTACTGATTTAGTTACTCACTGTGAATACAACAATAAATACAAGTACTACTCAATGGCATTTTACTTAAGAATGATCATCAATGTGCAGAGACTGTTTACAAATGTTCAACTAAATGCTTTTAATTTTCTGAGAAAATAACTTTAAAATGTTTGTAATTATTCCTCAAAACTACTATAAGATTATTCTCTAGAATTTTTCACTGTTTCCAGTTAGGAAATAACTTTTAAACAGAAAACTCAAAAATGCAGACATTAAATATTAAAAAAAAATCTACCATAGCATTTTTTAGAACAATGAGTTTATTAGCATTAGCAAAATGCACAATTAAGCACATATTAAAAACTCAGATTCTTTTGATAAATCTTAGAATATATGCACATATATATAAGTTAATAATTACAATACCTGAACTTTAACTATTCCTTCTAATTCAGCTGTAGGTGAATCGGGAGTGAATGTTACAGACCATATAGAACGCCAGCGTCCATTCCTAAAATTTTTAACTCCTTGTAATTCCAATTTCAAATAGATATAAAGAGAGTTTTCTTTACACGCTTGAAATTACATAAAAACTTTCCACACAAAAGAAAAATTAAATATATTACTCAAAAAACGAATGCTAACCAAAAATTTTTTGGCTGAAACTGATGATCTTCAATACAAGCAGTTATTGTAATGTTTCGATCTTGACTACTACTAAATACACAACATGTGCCATGTCTATAGTGATCCTGGGTGTATAATGTACAAGCTTCTTCCACTGCTCTCCTCCAAACTTCAGTAGCTCTGTCAGGTTCCCACAGTTTAAATTCAAAAGCTTCTTTTCTTAAATGGTCATATTTGAAAGACTGTTGGCTGCGAGGATCATAGAAACGTCCTCCTCCTAAATCATTGTAATCAGTAATCAAAGCCTACAGTAAGAATAAAAATAACATGAATAAAATTTGAATGAAAATAATATGAAATATTTTAAAAATAACCAAACTGCAGCTTATTTTACTATCCGATTTCAAGTTTCAGTGTCATAATACTCACAAATCAATATTATGAAATTTACATTGCACATTATTTTAATGTTTAAATCCCTTTCAATCATGCTTCAATATATCAAATTGCTCATATACTAAATTATTTCTCATTTCATTAAGTAGTGAAAAGTTACCTACACATGAAAATCATTTCAGAGTTTGATCTTAAGTCCTGGATGGTTAAATAGATAATAAAAACTAATGTCAATAAATTGGAAGCGGTTTTCTTCACCAACAAAAGAAATGTGGATCTACATATCAACCTCAAGATGTACAATACTAGCATTCCATGGGCTAAGCAAGTAAAATATAATGGTGTCATTTTAGACCAAAGACTTACATGGGCCCACAACATGTCAAATATATTTTTAATAAGTTTTAGGGTACTAAAGCTTTACTCAATACCTTAATTGCCTGAAATTCTGTTCTTTCTACTGAAAATAAAATATTCGTGTATAGAACCATGTTATATTTCATCATAACTTATGCATGTCCCATCTGGGGTTTCGTGTGCGATTCAAGTGACTTTTGCACAAGTTTGCACCAGTCTTCAGAGTTGAATTACTTCAAATAATATCATAATGGCATTACTTCAAAAAATTGTGGTTGTGCATGTACAGGCACGGCATTAATATAATTTCAATAAAAAATTACTCCAAATAAGATAATATCCACATTTGGTTTTAACAGTAGTAGTCAAGCATCAAATTTAAATATTCAGGATTTAGAAACATGCAAGTAGGTGATCTCCAGTAAAATGAATATTTTTAACATTACAAAGATACATTAATTTAACACCTATTTTTCTTTAATATCATACTAGTGAAATGAAAAAAATATCTGAATATACAAAATACAATCACTACTTTGATGCAAAAAAAATTCTGATACATGCATAGACTTTAAATTAAAAAATTAAACTATAAATTTTAATACACAGAATCCATGACACTAATTTTAGAAGGGGGGAAGGATATTTCTCTACAATTTTTCACTATACATTATAATGAATTTCACTATATATTATAATGAAAACTATGCAGGTACTTAGGTACTACAAAGTGCAAATTATTTGGAACAAAGCTATTTTTTCATAGTATTTTTAAGTTTGTTGTCAGCTGGCACTAGCAGGCCGCCCAAAGTTTTATCTGCCTTAATGCTTTGATGCACACGATATTTCTTTTTATAATGTTTTAACTAAATAACTCAAGGAATCACATATTATGGTCCTAGACACAAATCATATATGAATTAAAAGAAATCTACTCTTGCCCGTTGATCTGTGGGTGGTGGTCGCACTGTGAAACCAAAGTGTGTCTACGTCTTTGAATCTTAATGAGGTAAGTAGAGGGGGAAAACTTGCCTTTTTCTGCGTGCATTTCCAATAAATGAAGAAATTTGCTAATTTAGAAAAAGTGTATTTAAGAACTGCATTATATGTAATTTTTTTCACAAAGTAAATCGTCAGAAAAAATGCAAAAATAAACATTTACGTAATTTTTCTATAGCAGTGAAAATATAAGAACATACATAATAAGGACGTTTGGATAAATAAGAACTTGATACAGCAAGGATTAAAAAAAAACTTTTTTTTTTTTTAAATGTCAAAGAACAAATTTTTAGTGTGATACTGTTCAAAGCATGTTTTGTTTTTCTGATACATGCATAGACCCACATTACACGTTTCGCAAATGTATCTTTTTCTACGATGTTTCTCCTTTGTGCTACAAAATGTACACCGTCAGGATTTGCATTTTACAGGCCTATGCCCAGCATTCTTTAGTCTCTTTTCGTCTGGCACATGAAGTTTGTGTTTTTAATAGGGAAGGATGGTCTTTTTGGTTTTGGTAAGGATCTTTCATTTCCCATTTGTATTTCGTCCCAAAATATTTACAAAATATTTTAAATTTAAATAAAACTTTCGTGATTTCTATTTTTAATTTAACATTATATTTAAACCACACAAAATAATTTATAGAATCACAACACTAGCATAGGAAGAAAGCATGTTGAGCTCAGAGTAAAATCTCTGGAAATGAAAGACATTTTCACTGTGCAGATGCATGCACTGTTTAGTAATAAAATAACTCTGTGGTTTGAAATCCACTTATCTATATCTGGGTAAAAATAAACATTCCTATTTGAAAGCAGCAAACACCACTGTCAAGAGTAGTGGTTTCAGGGCATGACCACTGAGTCTTTAGAGGATTTTGAGCAATGCTCTAGTGGCTTAGTGGTTGTGACCTGAAACCACAATGCAAATGACATAAACATACACAAGTTGCTTATATATGCAGTTTGATTATTGCTATATTTTTATTGTTTATGATTGAAATAATGATGTGAGATAAATAACTTCTGAAATTTAGTTATTTGTATTAATAAAAGGAAGTTGTTTTGTCTCATTGAAAACGACTTTTAAAAGTATTCAATTAAAAGATTTGAAGTACTAAAACCTAAAAAATGTATGGTTCTACAGTGATTTTGTGTTATTTATGACAACAATTGGTTTTCACTCAGAAATTTCAAAAAGAAGTGGGGGGGAATTCAAAAATTGGTGGTTTCAGGGCACGATCACAGCACATCAAAGGGTTAATGTCATCTGCATGTCTGCATCAAAGGGTTAATGTCATCTCTATGTCTGCACCAAAGGGTTAATGTCTTAGAATCGGTTTATATAATAAATTAGGATAAATGCACCATTTTTAAAGCTTGTTTCTATTAAAAGAGGATGCTAATTTTGCATATTTTATAGGTACAGTTATCATTTGTTCCTTTCAGTGTACCAAAAATGGATATAATGCCTAGAAAAGAGAGCAAAGATTATCACAGCAAACAAGTGATGAGTTAAGTTTCACTTGAGAAAAGATATAACACTTAACAGTCACATATCCATGACTGTAAAAAATACTGCTTTCATGGTCAGTATTTGAAAACTGAGAGTTTCTCAAACTCTGAGGAGATACAAATTGGATCATTTTCCCCAGAAAGAACATGTGGAAGAAAAAGGAAAACAACTCCAAAATTTGACCAATTCCTGCTTAGTAGTAGCATTATTAATCCAACAAAACACAGCAAAGATATTAACAGAGATCTACTGTCAACTGGTATTGATATTCATCCTTCAAATGTGTGGTATATACTTCTCACTGCTGGTCAAAAGGAGAGAAAGCCAATTAAAAAAAAACTTTTTGACACATCACAAAAAATTTGTGCACACTCCCTTATGCCACAGCACCACTCTGAAGATTTCTGTCTTTTTTAATAGTGGTTGACTTGCATAAAGGTGTGGCACCTCTATGCCAATAAAATATCAATACACAAAGTATTCCATACTAAAGACAATTACACTCAGTTTAACCTTAAGCTCATTTTCATTGAAATGCAACAATACATCTCAAGATACTTGAGAGGAATTCTTAACTCATAAAAATCAAACACAAGATCAATAAAAAAATGTATCAATTTCTATTTTTAAATCTCATATTAATTCTGACTGATTGTTCTAAGTTCACATTAATTAACATTTCAAACACTCAATAATTTTTTGACACCAGCTAATACAATGATAACTGCTATAATCCACAATTAATTCTTATATTAAAAATGTAATTTAATCAACCTAGTTTCTTTATGTATAACCTCATGGCTAACTAGAGATAATGTATGGAAGGTGGACCTGAAAGACCACAAATTAAAGGAACATACAATAATTTACATTTTAACACATTTATTAATAATCTGGATTATCATAAGCGGGTAACTGGCCAGAACCCTCTACAAAAACAAAAATTTTTAGTAGTAAATTTCACACATTTTAATGCTACATATACATATTGCCATTTCAACTTGATACAATTCCCATCTTCTGACATTTAAAAATTTTAAAGTCCCTAATATGAACATTCTTAAAATCATTACAACCAGGGATACTTTACACATGAGACAATGTAATGTTTTGTTCAAAAGGAGTTATTTGGAGCAAATATTCTGAAAATAATCTTTAGTTGATATTCTGATATATTCCTCTTAGTTACGGTGACATATGTTGCATGCTATGTAGCATCAATACACATCTTAAACTGATTCTCATGCATACAGAACATAAATACAACAAAGCCTTACAGCAGAAAGATTTACTTTTCAATAACACTTTTTTTAAAAACCTTTTCTATGTAATTCGGATTTTTTTAAAAAATTAGTACATTATTTCTATACCCATAAAAATATGTTTGCTCATATAATCTAATATACTCAAACCTCCCTAAGATGATAACCTAACATTGTAGATAACTTTGGTCATCTTGTGGAGAAGGTATCCTAAAAGAACATGACTACTGCAGAGTGTGACACTAGTGTGAGAGAGGTTTTACAGGCATTTTATAACAGCAGAAACACAAAAAATTTTTAATTATTTTTTAAATTACGAATTGATCAATGAAACACGAATTTAAAGTTAAAATAGTTGAGCATTACTTAATACTTTAACAGAAACTGAGTAATAGTTTGCACAGCAATTTGAAAGCATTCTTGCAATTATTTTATTTGAAATCATATTGACATTATAAACTTATGATATTTACGTATGTTGAAGACAATTTTGGATACTCTTGCAAGCCAGACAATTATTATTAGCAGAAAATATTTTACCCTTTTTTTTATTGGTATTGAACTGCATGAAAAAATAAGAATTCAGAGTTTACAAATTAAGAATGGAATTTATATTAAAGCATAAAAGGTACTTACGTATTATCGCAACCAGGTTGGCGCTATTTGTAAGTTTAAGTAAAAAAAATATGAAGAAAGAAAATGTACATTTATAATTACAGATAATTTTTAATACAGTTTTTTATATTATTTGTTTTAAAATATAAAATAGCAATTAAAACCTTCCGGTTCGAATTGAATAAGTTGCAGAATTATTTTTCGGCAGAAATCTTTTGGCTATTGCTTTTAGCACTGATTGGAAAACCTATTCCCTAACCATGTACACGTGACATATTTTTTTAAAAAAACAAACCCAGAATTGCACAAAATGGCATTGCGCAGATCTTGACGGTTCCAGTACAGCTATTTTCATAATTACAAAAATGCACGAAAATGCAGGAAAATTTTGTGAATCTCCACATGCTCTTTTTACAAACTATGTAAACACGTAGGGTTGCCGTAAGTAGGGTCGCCAAATTTGGCAATTTTACACAAATTTTTGGCTGGTTGCGTTAATACTTAAGTACCGCATAAAATATACCCACAAACTTACAAGAAAATTAGAACCATCAATCTTAACAGGTGTTAGTTGGTCTTATTATACTGTGCAAATGCTCTGAAAAAGTAAAAAAAAAATATATATATAATAATAAACATATATACAAGCGCAAATATGAAGTGTTAGTGCAAATATGAAGTGTAAAAATTCCAATCTCAATAAAATATACAATAAAATTTTTGATTTGTTGTGACATGCACATTATACAAAACTACAGAAAATTGATTATAAATACAAAAATTAGAGTAACATTAATTTTTTAATTAATAATGCTTCATTTTACACTCAAATATTTCTAATAAATATATACATAATATAAACATATACACATTTAAAGTTAGCAACTTTCTAACTAGGTTAGTCCTGCAAAAATCCTAACCTATTTAACAACTGCCTAATAATAAATTTTTCATTAAAAAAATTCATTAAAGAATTTCAATGATCTTACAAATCACTGATCACATATTTTCAGGCAAAAACTGTGATTCCAAGCTGTTTTTGTGTAATTTAGCTATTAAAAGTTCAATAAAGAATAATGCTACTACTACTAAATCTCAATTACAATAATAATAACTAAAAAAAACTCAATTATAATCTAGTACACACAGTTTCAATAATTATGTATACCTAACACATGTTAATTTCAACATCTTTCCCAGCATAAAAGTATTTTTCCTTATATTCAAGGGCCAAAACTGCTTAATATAAGACTTGAATGCTTCATTTAAATTCTGTCTTCTTCAAAGACAAAAATATTTCTCTCAGCTTACCACAACTGAAACATCAAACTACCTTTTTTCTTAACCAGATATCCAAGATAGTAACTGGTTTGGCATTTACTGTAATCACACAACATTCAGTAAAACTAACTCAGCTGGTCATATTCCATTATTTCTTTAGTGGCCATGAACACACTCAGATCATAATTCATGAAATGGTCATAAACAAATTAAGCTCAGGTTTAGAATTTCTGTCAAAATACACACAACTGAAGACCTACTCATAAAAAGGAATTTTTTCTTCAATGCTCATGAGTGGGCTGACTTTGTTGTTCACATTATAGACAAGCGTAAAATACAAAAAGTAATTGACTTTACAGAATGCAGATGATGTTATGTACTGTAAAATGAGGCAGAATTAAGCCATTCCACATTCTGGCAGTAATTTGTTTACTGAAATTAGGGGGGGGGGATTTAATACACAACTTTCACATAATGAATAATAATTATGAAGAACATTTAGTAACATTTAAACAATTTGATAATCATTAAATATTCTATTATGTTTCTTCTTAATAAACTTCTTTTAACATTTACCAGCTTCTGCATTCTGAGATCTTTAACCAAAATCATTGATACCAATAAAAGTAGGCCTACAAATCATTCAAAATAGATCAATGGATCAAAATAGATCAACACAAAAAAAATTTTAATGCTGGGCATTCATTATTTCTGCTAGACATCCATTTTTTATTTACCTTACTAAGTAAATATACAACAGACAATACTATCAAAATTCCCCAAGCTACCTGTTAATTATATATATATGTCATAATAAAAGCAAAGGAAAAGACGGAACACTGTAGATGCATGCTTAGACAATTGAAGAAGATTGATTGCGATATTTAAAGAACTTGGCGTCAGGCGTTTTAATTCCATTTTTATTCCAATTGAATTGTGGCCACAATCACTTGGCAAATAGTCGTGCCTTTCCACAGAAGTTTACATTTTTGATATGTTGGGATAGAAAGCAAGCCAGCGAAATTAATCTTAACACGTAGAGAGCAAAGCTGAAGTGGCGTTATGAAAGATGGAAGCACGCGAAGAAAAAGTTTTGGTTTGACAATCGGTCGGTCGTCAAGAGGCAAGGTATTATAGAAATTTGAATGAAGCCAATGCAGATAAGTTATACGATTTTAGAATAGAGAGGAAGATTAAATGTTATAGTTATAATTATCATACATTTTTACTACATATAAGATATATATAGCAGCTTTGCAGTGTGCTAATATTTAATTTAGATAAAACAGAAAAAAAAAATTTACTTCATGCAAAATTAATGCCTGCATGTTCTAAATTCAAAACATGATCAATTTACGAATCACACAATGTATCCCACTTTTTTTTTTTTTAATCAGATTTCAATCACGCGTTATATAAAAATCTAGATTTAAACATTTCAAATAAAAAATAGAAAACACAATACTTCAAACTGAGCATTAGAAAAAGTTCTGAATCTCATCAAATGATATTAAATTGTTACCATCTCTAAATGATGCTCTTTATACAGGCCACGATGTATTCACACTATGGCCCAAGATCACAGTGCTTACATGTAGTAAGCACCATAAAAGTAGTCACCCCTCATAGGAGATTAAATGTTTAAGCTGCAAAAAACTGTGAAAT